GTGCTTCCAGAGGTGCCAGATCCAGGTTTTCTCCTGGAGTGACCATCAAGTTGAATAATTCTGGTTCTTTTCCCTGAACTGAACATCCAGGTGGATAATTCTGGTTCTTTTCCCTGAATATCAAGGTGGATAATTCTGATTCTTTCCCCTGGAATGAACATCCAGGTGGATAATTCTGGTTCTTTGTCCTTGGAGTGACCATCAGGGTGGATAATTCTGGTTCTTTTCCCTGAACTGAACATCCAGGTGGATAATTCTGGTTCTTTCCCTGAATATCAAGGTGGATAATTCTGGTTCTTTTCCCCTGAACATCCAGGTGGATAATTCTGGTTCTTTCCCTGAATATCAAGGTGGATAATTCTGGTTCTTTTCCCCTGAACATCCAGGTGGATAATTCTGTTTTTTTATTTTCTCTGGAGTGAACATCCAGGTGGATAATTCTGGTTCTTTTCCCCTGAACATCCAGGTGGATAATTCTGGTTCTTTTTCCCTGGAATGAACATCCAGGTGGATAATTCTGGTTCTTTTCCCTGAACATCAAGGTGAATAATTCTGGTTCTTTTCCCCTGAGTGACCATCAAAGTGGATAATTCCGTCTCTTGCTGACCCAGGTGCCTCCTGTAACCCTGCAGCCACTAATTCCCTAAAGCTCTGAATTATCTTCATCCCTTTTTCTCCACTGAGCTTTGAATTTTGTGCTTTCAGGTGTTTGGGTTCAGAGTGGGCATCAGGAGGAGTTTTGAAAGGAAATGAACAATTGCAAGTTGTGCTGAGTGTGAGCTCTGCCTTTTGGTCACTTTTGCCCCATCTGTTTTCATAAATTTCCTTAATTCCATAGAATTTCAGCCTGCTTTGGGTTTGGGTTGGACCTTAAATCCCATCCCACTGTCCCAGGGGGCTCCAAACCCATCCAGCCTGGCCTTGGACACTGCCACAGCTCCAGGGGCAGCCCCAGCTGCTCTGGGAATTCCATCCCAGCCTCTCCCCACCCTCACAGGGAGGAATTTCTTCCCAAAATCCCCTGTGGCTTCACACAGCTGCCTCTTGGTGGAGGATTCTGTGTTTGGAACAGAACCGAACATTTTCACGCAAGAAAAAAAAGTGATTTTTTTTAATGTCATTTCAATCATTTCTTCTTTTGGACAACGCCAAAGAGATGTTAGAAGAAGAGAATTTGAAGCATTTAGTTTTTATCCCTTGAAGCATTCTGAAAGCCTGGCAGTCTGGAATAGCCACTGACATTTTTTTTTTCAGAGCTTTATTTTTGCCTGGACTTGCCAGAAGGTCCCCATGGCCGTGGTATATTTAGCTGTACGTGCTGCCATGACTTAGCAAAATCCCAATTCCAGCCTGATTTCTGCTTTTTCACCCAGGCTTTGAAGGAATTCTGGAGAAAACAGGTCTGGAGATGCATGCAGGGTTCCAGGGATGGGAATTCCATCCTGAGGTTCTCCCCTGGAGCCCATCCTGCCTGGGGCCCGTCAGGGTTTAAGTCCAAGGACTATTTTTAGTGAGCCAAAAAACAAACATTCCTTTAGATTAGTGCTGGTCAAAGGGAAACTCCTGCAGAAAGCAGCCTGGGGATGGGATTTGTGCTGGGACTGAGGGGTTTGATAGGCACAGGAGGTTCCTGGCTGCTTCTGCAATCTCTGTTTTAACCCTCCCTGCCCTTGTGCTGTTCTGGTTCCTTTCTGGAATTCTGGTTGCTCCCGGTTCCTTTGTTTGATTTGGTCTGATGGTTCTGGTTCCTTTCTGGAAGTCTGATTGCTCTTTTAATTTCTCTGATCCAATTTTTTTGGGAGGAGAGTCCTGATTCAAGGTCTGGGCAGTGCTGGTCAAAGGGAAACTCCTGCAGAAAGCTCTGGGGATGGGATTTGTGCTGGGACTGAGGGGTTTGATAGGCTCAGGAGGTTCCTGGCTGCTTCTGCAATCTTTATTTTAACCCTCCCTGCCCTCGTGTTGTTCTGGTTCCTTTCTGGAATTATGATTGCTCCCTTAATTTCTCTGATTTGTGCTGGGGCTGAGGTGAGATTTTCCTGCTGAGGGGTTTGATAGGCACAGGAGGTTCCTGGCTGCTTCTGCAATCTTTATTTTAACCCTCCCTGCCCTTGTGCTGCTCTGGTTCCTTTCTGGAATTCTGGTTGCTCCTGGTTCCTTTGTTTGATTTGGTCTGATGGTTCTGGTTCCTTTCTGGAAGTCTGTTCCTGCTCTCTGATTGTTCATTTAATTTCTCTGATCCTTTTTTTTTTGGGAGGAAAGTCCTGATTCAAGGTCTGGGCAATGCTGGGAAAGGCAAACTCCTGCAGAAAGCTCTGGGGATGGGATTTGTGCTGGGGCTGAGGTGAGAATTTGATAGGCACAGGAGGTTCCTGGCTGCTTCTGCAATCTCTGTTTTAACCCTCCCTGCCCTTGTGCTGCTCTGGTTCCTTTCTGGAGGTCTGTTCCTGCTCTCTGATTGCTCCTTTAATTTCTCTGATCCTTTTTTTGGATCAGAGAATTTGATTGAATTCCCCTGATTCAAGGTCTGGGAAAGGCTTTGGATCTGTAACTGAGGGGAAAAGGAATCACGTCTCTTTTTCCCCATGAATAATTCCTCTGTGTTCCTCCTCCACGATTTCCTCCATCTCCTAATCAATCAATTAATCAATTTAATTAGTTAAATTAAATCTGCTCCTGTCCCGGATGTGCAGGTGCTGCTCTCCCAGCCTTGGGAATGTCTGTCCCCACCCACAGTGGCTCCAGAGTCACCTGGAGATGGGAGGGGACAGCCCTGGGAGAGCTGGGAATGGCAGAAGCTCAGTTTAATTAGCAGCTAATTGGGCTGAGAGCTGCCAGGGGCTGCTTTCTGCTCAGGATTTGTGATGTTCCTGCTGGGAGGTGATAAAAGGGTCTGGGGGGGAGCAGCACTTGTGCTGGATTTCGTTTTGGGGTGGGAGTTTGAGAGTTCCCACTTCAGCACCCTGCTCTGGTGTCTGGGATAATTCAGAATGAAACTGGGATTGGGAGCACAGCCTGTGACTCTGAAATCCTGGGGTTTGGTGTTCCTCAATCCCCAGATTTCCATCACCAAATGGAGCACTCAAAGGCTCACTTTGTGACAGCACACTGGATTTTCTCACTGGGTTTCATGTTAAGTTGTGGTGGGATTGGGTCCATGCTCAGGGACAGGATATTTGGGAAATGATGGATCCATGCTCAAGGACAGGATATTTGGGATTGGATCCATGCTCAGGGGCAGGATATTTGGGATGTGATGGATCCATGGATCCATGCTCAGGTACAGGATATTTAGGATATCATGGATCCATGCTCAGGGACAGGATATTTGGGAAATGATGGATCCATGCTCAAGGACAGGATATTTGGGATTGGATCCATGCTCAGGTACAGGGTATTTGGGGTGTGATGGGATATTTGGGGTGTGATGGATCCATGCTCAGGTACAGGACATTTGGGATGTGATAGGATTGGATCCATGCTCAGGTACAGGATATTTGGGATATCATGGATCCATTCTCAGGTACAGGATATTTGGGGTGTGATGGGATTGGATCCATGCTCAGGTACAGGGTATTTGGAATTGGATCCATGCTCAGGTATAGGATATTTGGGAAGTGATGGATCCATGCTCAGGGATAGGACATTTGGGGTGTGATGGGATTGGATCCATGCTCAGGGACAGGATATTTGGGATGGGGTTGGATCCATGCTCAGGTATAGGATATTTGGGGTTTGGTGGGATTGGATCCATGCTCAGGGACAGGACATTTGGGGTGTGATGGGATTGGATCCATGCTCAGGGACAGAATATTTGGGATGGGATTGGATCCATGCTCAGGTTTAGGACATTTGGGAAGTGATGGATCCATGCTCAGGTACAGGATATTTGGGGTTGGATCCATGCTCAGGAACAGAATATTTGGGATGTGATGGGACTGGATTCATGCTTAGGGACAGGATATTTGTGGTGGGATTGGATCCTTTCTCAGGTACAGGTGTTTTGGGGTTTGATGGATCCATGCTCAGGTACAGGATATTTGGGAAGTGATGGATCCATGCTCAGGTACAGGATATTTGGGATGGGCTTGGATCCATGCTCAGATACAGGATATTTGGGATGAGATCCATGCTCAGGTACAGGATATTTGGGGTGGGATTGGATCCATGCTCGGGTACAGGGTATTTGGGATGGGATTGGTTTCATGCTCAGGTACAGGATATTTGGGAGGTGCTGGATTTTCCCCATGGCAAGACAATACTAAATCTGGCAAGACAATATCAAATCTTAGAATTGTTTTTATTTCTATTTTTCATGTGAGCCTTTTCTCCCTGTTTCCCTTGGGACCTCCTTGGTGCACCAGGTGTTGTCCCTGGATTTGGGGGGATCCCAGAACCAGCTCTGCCCTCATTGCTTGGCACAGCACTGAGCTTTCCCAGCACTATCCCTCCTCCTTGTGCAACACCAAACATCTCAACTCCCTTTAATCCGTTCTTGGTGGTTTAAAAATCAGCCCTGTTTGTCCCAGAGCTCCTGAGGGCTGGGAGAACATTCTGGGGCACCTTTTCCATCACAGAAACCAACCCTGCTGCACCTTCCACCTCTGTTTGGTGGATATTTGTGCTGCTGGACCCTTCTTCCTCTCCTTGGCCAGATGTTTGGTCTGTGAAACCTCCCAGTTTTGTTGTGTGCTGAGGGAGCCTCTCCACTCAGTGCCAGCTCACATCCTGATTATCATTTACTTCCCTGGAACAGCTGCAAATCTCAGTTTCTATTTCATCTCTCAATTTACAGACCATCCTTGCACTGTGCTCTAAAATATTTTGATTTTCTGTGATGCAGAAACTGGAAAGCTGCAGCACAAAGTTTATCTGCTAGGAATTTCCTGGAATATCTGGAAACATCCTCATGAACCAACCACTTTTTCCCTGAGGTAAATCAGGGTTTGTTGCCTTGATTTGGGGCTAAATTTTGCCTTTTTTTTTTTTTTTTGTGTTTGCAGATGTTCTCAAACAACGATGAAGCTGCAATCAACAAGAAACTGCCCAAAGAGCTGCTGCTTCGGTGAGTCCTCCCTGGACACCGGTGGGTTGGTATTTCCATCCAGGATTTTGCTGCTCTGCTCCCAAATCATGAGCTTGGATCAGGTCACTCCCAAAGCCAGAGCCAAACAGAGGCAGGTCAAAGGTCTGTGTCAGCAGTTTGGGCTAAATCTGGGAATTCTGGGTCCTTCTCTTGTCCTGCTGGGAGGGAAAATTCCTAAATAAACCCCTGGGGAATGGGGAGGGAGAGGAGGGTGAAAATATCCAGGGAAGGTGGGAAAGGATGGAGGGAAAAATCTGGAGGATGGAGGGAAAGTGGGAAAGGATTTTGGAAAAAGGTGGGAAAAGATCCAAGGTAAATCCTGGAGGATGGAGGGAAAGGATTTTGGGAAAGGGTGGGAAAAGATGCTGGGTAAATCCTGGAGGATGGAGGGAAAGGATTTTGGGAAAGGGTGGGAAAAGATTCAGGGTAAATCCTGGAGGATGGAGGGAAAGCAGGAGGAAATTTAAGGAAGTTGGAAGAGGATGTGGGAAAAACAGGAAAGGGTTTTGGGGAAGGATCCAGGGAAGGTGGGAAAGGATAGATGGAAAAATCTGGAGGATGGAGGGAAAGTGGGAAAGGATTTTGGGAAAAGATGAGAAAGGATCCAGGGAATGTGGGAAAGGATAGTGGGTAAATCCTGGAGGGAAAAGTGGGAAAGGATTTTTGGGAAAAGGTGGGAAAGAATTCAGGGAATGTGGGAAAAGATCCAGGGTAAGTCCTGGAGGATGGAGGGAAAGCAGGAGGAAATTTAAGGAAGTTGGGAGAGGATGTGGGAAAAGATCAGGGAATGTGGGAAATGATTTAGGGAAAGTGGAAGAGGATGGGAAAAGGTGGAAATGGTGGAGGGAAAGGGTTGGGAAAGGCAGGAAAAATGGGGAAAGGGTTTTGGGAAAGTGGGAAAAAATCCAGGAAGTTCCAAGAGTTTCCCCCCATTCCTGAGAAAATTCAGTTGTGGGGTTTTCAGTGCTGGGTTGATTTGCTTGGTTGTCTGTTTGGTGAATGGAGGAGTGAGGATCCTCTCATTAATGCTCCTGGTGGGGATGGGCTGATGTGGAGAGCAGGATTCTGCTTCTCTGAGGGCTTCAGTTGAAAATAAAAGTGAATCCCTCTGCTCCAGTTCCACTCAAGTGGAATTTGCCCCATCCCTCGTCAACAGGAGCCAGATGTTCAACTCCTGGCTGGATGGCAAACACCAAATAGATCAGACTTGGTGGATTTTTAGGGTTTGAAAGTCCTTTAAGGTCTCTGTGGATAATTCTGCCCTGTTAACAAACACCAAACAGACCAGACTTGGTGGATTTTTAGGGTTTGAAAGTCCTTTAAGGTCTCTGTGGATATTTCTGCCCTGTGGGAAGCAGGAGGGGAGTGTGGGGTGATTGTCCCTCATTTTGGGCTCTGGAAGCAGAGCTGAGTTTCAGTGCTTTGAGCTCAGGTGTTGGGCTGGAAATGGGGAAAGCAGAGGCAGGAGAAGTTTGAATTATTAACAGCAACAACATTTCTTACACTGCAGGAAACTGGTTCTGTCAACACTCAGTGACAGTGAGGTGTGTGGGGAGGGGAGTGTGACCCAGGGAAATGCTGCTGCCTCACTTCTGCAATGAAAGGAGCAGGGAGAAGGGATGACTGTTTAATTTTCAGTGCTTCCCCTGGAAGGGTATTTACCACCTGGTTCCATTGGCATTTCCCACCTGATCCCGTGGGTATTTCCCACCTGATCCCCACATGGGCATTTCTCACCTGATTCCATTGGCATTTCCCACCTGATCCCATTGGCATTTCCCACCTGATCCCGTGGGCATTTCCCACCTGATCCCGTGGGCATTTCCCACCCGATCCCGTGGGCATTTCCCACCCGGTTCCATTGGCATTTCCCACCTGGTTCCATGGGCATTTCCCACCTGCTTCCATTGGCATTTCGCACCTGATCCCGTGGGCATTTCCCACCTGGTTCCATGGGCATTTCCCACCTGATCCCATTGGCATTTCCCACCCGGTTCCATTGGCATTTCCCACCTGGTTCCGTTGGCATTTCCCACCTGATCCCATTGGCATTTCCCACCCGGTTCCATTGGCATTTCCCACCTGATCCCGTGGGCATTTCCCACCCGATCCCGTGGGCATTTCCCACCTGGTTCCATGGGCATTTCCCACCTGCTTCCATTGGCATTTCCCACCTGATCCCATGGGCATTTCCCACCTGGTTCCATTGGCATTTCCCACCCGATCCCGTGGGCATTTCCCACCCAATCCCATTGTGTCCTGGAAATATCTGTGCCTGTTGTGTCCTGGAAATATCTGTGTCCTCCTGTCCCTGGTCATCCCAACCTGCTGGAGAGCAGGGAATTGTTCAGGATCTGGTGGAACCAAGGGGAAATCAGGAGTTGATAAATGTTTAAAGCTCATAAGTGATGGTTTGGAGAGCTGCAATTCACTGTTAGCATACTGTGCAAATTAATTACTGTGCATTGACAGTGCAGCCTTTGAAAGAGAAGCTTGGATGGGTTTTGTGCAGGGATCTCCTGTAAATGGGTGGCACTGTGTGCAGGACAAAGGCTGGTGTGTTTGGGCACTGCTCTGTGAAGTGCTGTCCCTGCTCTGGCCACTCTCAGCCAGCCTCGGGGTCCCCTGGGTGTGGAGTGAAAGCTGCACTTAGGCACAATAAAGAGGAGGAGGAGGATGTGTAAGAGGAGAAGAGCAGCTTTTGTTATCCCTAAAAATCAGGGATGGGCCAGGAGGGTGGTGCTGTGATGTGTCTGGGGTCAGCAGTGACAATCCTGTTGTGTCCCACCTGCAGTGGGGACATTGTCCTGCATATGCAGAAAGGATTTCATCAGGGTGAGCAGGTCACAGAATCCTGGGATGGTTTGGGCTGGAAGGGACTTTAGGGCCTGTCTGGTTCCACCTTCCATGAGCAGGGACACCTCCCACTGTCCCAGGCTGCTCCAAGCCCTGCCCAGCCTGGCACTGGGCACTGCCAGGGATGGGACAGCCCCAGCATGGTGACCAGTCCATGTCCTGGCACTGCTGCACCTGCAGTGGTGACACCTCTGGAGGTGGCTGGACCTTCGCACACACACAGCAATGAGCCAGAGCAGCAAAAAGCAGAATTCCCTGGGAAATGAATCCGTGCTCCCTGCTGGCTCCAGCTGTGGTTGTGTCCCCAGAGTGACATCCTGTGACCGTGATCACGGGGGTCTGAGGATGAGGGAAGAGATGAGGATCTGACTCCATGTTTCAGAAGGTTTGATTTATTATTTTATCATATATATTATATTAAAACTGTAGTGAAACAATAGAAGAAGGGATTTTATCAGAAGGCTGGCTAAGAATAGAATAGGGAAGAATGATAACAGAGGTTTGTGGCTCGGACTCTCTGAGCCAGCTCACTGTGATTGGCCATTAATTATGAACAACCACATGAGACCAATCCCAGATGCACCTGTTGCATTCCACAGCAGCAGATAACCATTGTTTACATTTTGTTCCTGAGGCCTCTCGGCTTCTCAGGAGGAAAAATCCCAAGGAAAGGATTTTCCATAAAACATGTTTATGACAACATCCTCTTCCTTTTCCCTGCATTTCCACTGCTGTTGGAGAGCTGCTTTCCCTCCCTGAGCCTGGCAGCCACCCCCAGCCCCAATTTCCCTGGCAGAGGTGTCTGTGCTGCCCTCCTGGAGCAGCTGGCACTGCCAGTGCTGCCCAGCTCCTGCCTGGCCCCAGCAGGATCATCCTGCAGGAATTCAGCCCTTCCTGCTGGCTCACAGGCAGGGCAGGCACTTTGCAGCTCTCTCCTGGCCTGAGCAGCTTTAACTCCGTGCCCAGCCCATGCCCAGGCCTGGCACTGCCATGCCCACATTCTGATTCACCCCTTGTGCCCGTGGGCAGCTCTGAGCTGGCAGCAGAGCCGTGGTGTCCGTGCCCCTGCCCAGCCCGTGGGAGCAGGGCTGAACTGGGAATGAACTGGGATTGAACTGGGATGGTGGGAGGGGTTTGCTGGCACAAACTGGTGTTGGTAATTTTAGAAAGCTGAAGGTCTAAGCTGGCTCACCTCAGAGCCTGCAGGGATTTCAGGAGAGTCCTGACCCTAATCTCATTAGAGCAGCAGTGGGAAAGTGAGGAGTCCTAGAAACCCCTGAGTGGATTAAGAGGTTGAAACCTGCAAATTGCTCAAAGTGAGTGTGTTTTACCCAAATTGTGCAGAGCTGAGCTGTTCAGACAAAATCAAACTCATAGGGAGTCCCTTTGCAGTGAGAGAATTTAATCTGCTGCAATTCCAGATTTAATTCCTGTTTGGGAAGCTCAGCCTGCCTTCATCTGTGATCAGTGTTTGGTGATAAAGTTAATTTTATGGATTATTTTCTCCACTAAGAATAAAAATATGTAAAAGGGCTCACCAGGCAGCTGTGAGCAGGACAGGAATCATGTTTGGGTGCAAAAATAAATGTTCCAAACCTGCAAATTGCTCAAAGTGAGGGTGTGTTACCCAAATTGTGCAGAGCTGAGCTGTTCAGACAAAATCAAACTCATAGGGAGTCCCTTTGCAGTGAGAGAATTTAATCTGCTGCAATTCCAGATTTAATTCCTGTTTGGGGAGCTCAGTCTTTTCCCCCAGTATTGGTGTTTCTGAAGGGTTTTTCCATCCCTGCTTCTCAGCATGCTCGTGGCTGGCATCATTTGTCTTCTCTTTTGGGTGGCCTTCAAGTTGAAAATATTAAATTACAATATTAAAGCACACTATGGTTGAACTCTTGTATTATCTTTGCAAAACCTCCAGATTTAGAATTGTTCCCAAAGGGAACGAGACCTTGATGCCCTCCCACCCTCCCCTTGACCTCGTCTGTTTTGGGACACCATTGTTTGAGTGACCAGAACCCATCAAATGCCATTGAAACCCCATTGAATTTTATCCATTATTGATGGCTTGGTGCAGACTGGGAGCTTTCCATGGGCTGGAGCTTCCTGCATGCCCAGCTGTGGGGTGTGATGGGCAATCCTGGCAGTCCCAGCTGTGTCATTCCTTTGTCCCAGTAATAGCCCAGCAGTCCTGGGGTGTGCCCTGGCCCAGGGTGGCACTCAGGAGTGACCACAGTGTCATTGTCATAGTCCCTCCTGGCCGAGCACAGCTGGCTCTGCCCTTGTGGGAATGTAAAATACCTTTAGTATCAATGTTCTCATAAATAATCCGCATTTACTCTCCATCCTTTTCCCCCAATTTTGGTGTTTCTGAAGGGCTTTTTCCATCCCTGCTTCTCAGGGTGCTCAGCATTTGTCTCTCTTTCAGGTGGTCTTCAATTTGAAGATATTAAATTAAAATATTAAAGGCCAGTGTCATTGTCCCTCCTGGCTGGTGTCATTGTCCCTCCTGACCAAGCACAGCTGGCTCTGCCACTTGTGGGAGTGTAAAATACCTTTAGTATCAATGTTCTCATAAATAATCCACATTTACTCTCCATCCTTTTCCCTCAATATTGGTGTTTCTGAAGGGTTTTTCCATCCCTGCTTCTCAGGATTCTTGTGGCTGACAACATTTGCCTTCTCTTTTAGGTGGTCTTCAATTTGAAGATATTAAATTAAAATATTAAAGCCCAGTGTCATTGTCCCTCCTGGCCAAGCACAGCTGGCTCTGCCTCTTGTGGGAGTGCAAAATCCCTTTAGCAGCATCAATGTTCTCATGAATAATCTGCATTTACTCTCCATCCTTTTCCCTCAATATTGGTGTTTCTGAAGGGTTTTTCCATCCCTGCTTCTCAGGATTCTTGTGGCTGACAGCATTTGCCTTCTCTTTCAGGTGGCCTTCAAGTTGAAAATATTAAAATATTAAAGCCCAGTGTCATTGTCCCTCCTGGCCAAGCACAGCTGGCTCTGCCACTTATGGAAGTGCAAAATACTTTCAGCATCAATGTTCTCATAAATAATCCGCATTTACTCTCCATCCTTTTCCCTCAATTTTGGTGTTTCTGAAGGGCTTTTTCCATCCCTGCTTCTCAGGGTACTCAGCATTTGTCTCTCTTTCAGGTGGTCTTCAATTTGAAGATATTAAATTAAAATATTAAAGGCCAGTGTCATTGTCCCTCCTGGCTGGTGTCATTGTCCCTCCTGACCAAGCACAGCTGGCTCTGCCTCTTGTGGGAGTGCAAAATACCTTTAGCATCAATGTTCTCATGAATAATCTGCATTTACTCTCCATCCTTTTCCCTCAATATTGGTGTCTCTGAAGGGTTTTTCCGTCCCTGCTTCTCAGGATTCTCAACATTTGACTTCCCTTTCAGATGGCCTTCAAGTTGAAAATATTAAATTAAAATTTTAAAGCAGAGTATCATTGTCCCTCCTGGCTGGTGTCATTGTCCCTCCTGGCTGAGCACAGCTGGCTCTACCCTTGTGGGAATGTAAAATACCTTTAGCATCAATGTTCTCATAAATAATCTGCATTTACCCTCCATCCTTTTCCCCCAATTTTGGTGTTTCTGAAGGGCTTTTTCCATCCCTGCTTCTCAGGGTGCTCAGCATTTGTCTCTCTTTCAGGTGGTCTTCAAGTTGAAAATATTAAATTAAAATATTAAAGGCCAGTGTCATTGTCCCTCCTGGCCAAGCACAGCTGGCTCTGCCTCTTGTGAGAGTGCAAAATCCCTTTAGCAGCATCAATGTTCTCATGAATAATCTGCATTTACTCTCCATCCTTTTCCCTCAATATTGGTGTTTCTGAAGGGTTTTTCCATCCCTGCTTCTCAGGATTCTTGTGGCTGACAGCATTTGCCTTCTCTTTCAGGTGGCCTTCAAGTTGAAAATATTAAAATATTAAAGCCCAGTGTCATTGTCCCTCCTGGCCAAGCACAGCTGACTCTGCCTCTTGTGGGAGTGCAAAATACCTTTAGCATCAATGTTCTCATAAATAATCTGCATTTATCCTCCATCCTTTTCCCCCAGTTTTGGTGTTTCTGAAGGGCTTTTTCCATCCCTGCTTCTCAGGGTGCTCAGCATTTGTCTCTCTTTCAGGTGGTCTTCAAGTTGTAAATATTAAATTAAAATATTAAAGGCCAGTGTCATTGTTCCTCCTGGCCAAGCACAGCTGGCTCTGCCTCTTGTGAGAGTGCAAAATCCCTTTAGCAGCATCAATGTTCTCATGAATAATCTGCATTTACCCTCCATCCTTTTCCCCCAGTTTTGGTGTTTCTGAAGGGCTTTTTCCATCCCTGCTTCTCAGGATTCTTGTGGCTGACAGCATTTGCCTTCTCTTTCAGGTGGCCTCCAAGTTGAAAATATTAAAATATTAAAGCCCAGTGTCATTGTCCCTCCTGGCCGAGCACAGCTGGCTCTGCCCTTGTGGAAGTGCAGAATCCTGGCATGGTTTGGGCTGGGAGGGATTAAAGCCCATCCACTCCCAGCCCTGCCACTGTCCCAGGTGGCTCCAAGCCCCAGGGATCCAGGGGCAGCCACAGCTTCTCTGGGAAACCCATCCCAGCCCTCCCCACGCTCTCAGGGAGGGATTCCTTCCCAATATCCCACCCAGCCTTGCCCTGTGGCACTTGAACCCCTTTCCCCCTGTCCTGGCACTGCAGGGCCTTGGAAATGTCCCCCGTCCATCCTTCCTGTCCCCCTTCAGGTGTTGGCAGTCACAATTGGGTCACCCTCTGCTTCTGGTGCCCAGGCTGGGCAATGCCAGCAGGGCTGGGATCACTCTGGGAACCAGGAATGATCTGGGCACCGAAACCGGTCTGGAGTGAGTGATGGGGGATTGGCAGTGCCCACAGTGAGGGATGGCATTGCTCATTTCTGAGAACTGGTCATGAGGGATGGCAGTGCCCTGATCCAGAGCTGGGAATGAGAGATGGCACTGCCCATTTCTGGAAGCTGGGAATGAGGGATGGCCCTGCCCTAATCCTAGAGCTGGTCATGAGGGACAGCAGTGCCCACAGTGAGGGATGGCAGTGCCCTGATCCAGAGCTGGGGATGAGGCATGGCACTGCCCTGATCCAGAGCTGGGAATGAGGCATGGCACTGCCCTGATCCTGGAGCAGGTAATGAGGGATGGCACTGCCCATTTCTGGGAGCTGGTAGTGAGAGATGACTGTGCCCACAACGAGGGATGGCACTGTCCTGATCCAGAGCTGGGAATGAGGCATGGCACTGCCCACTTTTGGGAGCTGGTAGTGAGGGATGGCCCTGCCCTGATCCCAGAGCTGGTAATGAGGATGGCACTGCCTGCTTTTGGGAGCTGGTAGTGAGGTGAGTGAGGTGAGGTAGTGAGTGAGCTGGCACTGCCCTAATCCCAGAGCTGGTAGTGAGGATGGCATAGCCTGCAATGAGGGATGGCACTGCCCATTTCTGGGAGTTGGTAGTGAGGTGAGTGAGGTGAGGTAGTGAGTGAGCTGGCACTGCCCTGATTCCAGAGCTGGAAATGAGGGATGGCACTGCCCTGATCCTGGAGCTGGTAGTGAGGATGGCACAGCCTGCAATGAGGGATGGCACTGCCCATTTCTGGCAGCTGGTGCTGAAGTTGTTGGGAGTGTTTAGTTCCTCCTGTGCAGAGTCAGAGCCAGCCCAGGGCCCTGCTGGTGCTCCATGCCCTGGGGGCTCCTGCCGGGCTCACTGGGGTGAGCAGTCAGTGCTGTGGGGCAGGAGCCACTCCAGGCTGGGAGCTTTCTGTCCCCAGAGCTGTGGGGCAGGAGCCACTCCAGGCTGGGAGGTTTCTGTCCCCAGAGCTGTGGGGCAGGAGCCACTCCCGGCTGGGAGGTTTCTGTCCCCAGAGCTGTGGGGCAGGAGCCACTCCCGGCTGGGAGGTTTCTGTCCCCAGTCCCTCCATGGCCGTGTTTTGTTTCCATTTGGGAACTGCTGCCTCTGCACTTCCTTTCACAGTTCAGCTTTCAGCCAAATCACAAAGAACTTTTGCTGTCCCAGTCCTTTTTTTTTTTTTCCTCCCCCTCTTTTGTTTTCCACATCCCTTTATGTTTTAAATATCAATAACCTATAAAGTGTCTCTTATTTCTATTCCAGAATTTTCTCTTTCCTGGATGTGGTCACTCTGTGTCGTTGTGCTCAAGTTTCCAGGGTAAGAACCTTCCTCCTTCCTGGTGGATTTTAACAGGATGTTGCATTTGGGTGACAATCCTCCCTGCCCAGGGAGCTTTGTGCCACTCAGCTGAGGTTATTTAGTGTCCCTTGGAAGTCCTGGAAAATTCCCACAGCTCCAGTGAGGGGGAATTCCAAGCTGGAGCAGCATTTTCCAGTGTCCCAGGTACAAAGGGCAGGGGCCTGATGTTTTGCCCAGAACTCTCCCCTCATTCTGGATTTTGCTCCCTGCAACATGGGATGAGCCCAAAATGCCATCCTCTGGGTTTTGGTGGAAATTTTAATTCACAGAGATGCTGCACAGTCAATGAAAGTTCATTTTCTCCTTGGGTGTAGTTGGAGTAAGGATGGAAATAAAGTGAGGGGTTGTAATTGGATTAATCCAGCTTGGATTATTTGCTTGGGAGGGGAATTCCTCCAGCTGGACTGGAAGGTTCAGTTTTCTGGAGCTGCCATATTTATTCAGATTTATTTCTTTTCCCTGCCAGTGTCTGGTGACTGCCAGGGTGGTGATCCAGGCAAGGTGTTGGGGTGCTGTCACCATCCTGCCTGGGTGACACCTGCACAAACCCATCAATCCTGGCTCCAAACCTCAGCCACCACTGATTTAATTCTCTAAGCACATTGGAATTAAAAGAAAAAAAAGCTTGAACATTGTTAATTGCATTAAAAACTTGCTCTGTGTGGTGTCTGGGCATTGCAGTTGTCGCTGGGTTGTGCAGGGAAGGAGCTCCCAGCTGAAACCCAGCACAGCAGTGTTGGCAGAACGGGCTCTCAGGGATCCTTTGCCAATGTCAGGGTGTTCTCCTGGCCTGTCCCAGCCCCTGTTCCGTGGCACAGCACGGGCAGTTCCTGCAGGGATGTGCAGGAAGGTTCTGGAACGTTCCCTGCGCTGCCCATGGAATGATGCAGCCACTGGGGCGTTCCCCACTGCTTTTCTCTGGCCGTGCCCAGACCTTCAAACAAACATCAGCAGTGAGGTTTAAACCCCAGAAAACTCAATTAATGCTCAGTTTTGTCATCTGTTGTAACTCTGCACTAACTCCTGCTCAAAAACTGCTGCTCTGTGGGATTTGGGGTGGAAAATCCCCCCTGTGTTTACCCCTGGCTCCTGCCCAGTGCTGCCTCCTGGTTATTAAAAACTCCCCTTGTTTACCTTGATGGTGTAAATGAAACTTTAAATTCACCTGAGGACGCAGCAACCAACTCTGAGATCCTGCTTCTCCTTTGGAGCAGGAACCACGGGAGATTTTGGTGATTTAAACCAAACCCAGACCCTGTGGGGACTCACCTGTGCCCAGGTGTCCTCTGAGGTGCTGGGGAGGAAATTCCAGCCAGGAATGTGAAATTCCTGCACCTCCCAAGGGAATAGAAGCAGCCAGGGCACCTCTTCCCTGGCTGGGGGACTCAAAATTCTGAATTTTAAGGGCACCAAGCTCCTGGTGCCTGCAATTACCTGTAGCTTCCCCACTTGGGACAGAATATTATTTCTCAAAGGAACAAACTATGACTAGGTCCCCACTGATCTTTTTTTTAATTTTTTTTTCATATTAACCACACATTTACATTTTTTTTCCCCTGATAAAGGCATGGAATGTTCTGGCCCTGGATGGCAGTAACTGGCAGCGAATTGACCTGTTTGATTTCCAGAGGGATATTGAGGTATAATTAAGTGACATACAAACTCGTTTTTTTCTTGTTCAAATGCAATTACACTCTAGAATGGATTAATACTCCCAGTGTAACCCTTTCTGCCTTCCCTGGAGATAGAAATCATTAATTTCAGTTCTTCAGCTTGAGGGAGTTTTTAAAGCAATCCATTCAGCTTTTGAAAATGGACAGAATTCTGTATTCCTAGCAAGATTTAAGGGTTGTAATGGAAGGAAAGTAGTTTTTGTCTGTTCTGAAAACAGAAATTAGTAGAAAAAGTACTTTTTTGGGGGAAAACTGCTGCTTGTATGGAAGAGAATTTAAGCTATTGCTCCTTGCACCATGAGGACTGAATGTGTGTCGAATCATGGCCTAAAATATTTGTAACTTTAATATCAAAAATTGAAATTGAAGTGAAGATGATTTGGGAAGGAGTTTCTGGTGCAAATATTCTCCAGTGGTTTTGCCCTTTGGTCCCAGGGGAAAGGTAAATCCTGGCTGTAATGGGGTCTTTGGGTCCAGATTTGAAATTCAAAATGTGTTTTTAATTTCTGGATCTCTGGAGGCACAAATGGTTGAATCCCTTTTCCTGCAGGGGCAGAACTCATGGGCTGGTTCTGCTCAGAAACTGGAACTTATTCATTAGCTGTGCTTGGAAATCTGGGTTGTAGCTCCTCTCACCTCCCTTGGGGAGTCTGTGAGCTTGGAGAGTCCGTCCAGGAGCTCCAAAACGGAGAAAATTCCTCAAAATGCTTTATCTGATTTACTTTAGGTGATTTCTCCTTGTCTCTCCGTCTTCAGAAGCTGAATCATTCTCCCTCCCTCCCACATTTTTCTCCCCTCAGCACCTTTTTCCCCTCAAATAACAAATTGTTGTCAACCTGCAGAACGTTCTGGGGGTTCTCAGGTGGCTGCTGTGTCTCCCCAGGGCCGGGTGGTGGAGAACATCTCCAAGAGATGTGGGGGATTCCTGCAGAAGCTGAGCCTGCGCGGCTGCCAGGGAGTGGGGGACAACGCCCTTAAGGTGAGGGGCTGAAAATCCTGAATTTCCTCATTTATCTCTGAATGAATGGGGAGAATTCACCCCCACTTTGGGTCTGAGACACTCAGGATGTCAGACCTGGAGAGCAGTGGCAGAGATTATTCATTTCTCATTTAATTCATTTTTTTTATTATTTTATTAGTAATTTTTAACATTTAATTTGTGGTTTTTTAGCATTTCATTTATTGGAGTTTTAGCTAAAAATGAAATTGTAAATATATAAAAATAAAATTAAAATAAGTTAAATTTATAAAGATATCACTACATTTCTATATAAATATATAAACATATAAATGCATCAATATATAAAATATATTTATATATAAATATATAAATATGGGGCTGAAAATCCTGAATTTCCACATTTATCTCTGAATAAATGGGGAGAATTCACCCCCACTTTGGGTCTGAGACACTCAGGATGTCAGAACCTGGAGAGCAATGGCAAAGGTTATTCATTTCTCATTTAATTATTTTTTTTATTATTTTATTAATATTTTTTAGCATTTAATTTGTCATTTTTTAGCATTTAATTTATTGGAGTTTTAGCTAAAAATTAAATTGTAAATATATAAAAATAAAATTCAAATAAATTAAATTTATAAAGATATCACTACATTTATATATAAATATATAAATGCATCAATATATAAATATATTTATATATAAAATATGGGGCTGAAAATCCTGAATTTCCACATATATCTCTGAATAAATGGGGAAAATTCACCCCCCACTTTGGGTCTGAGACACTCAGGATGTCAGAACCTGGAGAGCAGTGGCAGAGATTATTCATTTCTCATTTAATTCATTTTTTTTATTATTTTATTAGTAATTTTTAACATTTAATTTGTGGTTTTTTAGCATTTAATTTATTGGAGTTTTAGCTAAAAATTAAATTGTAAATATATAAAAATAAAATTAAAATAAGTTAAATTTATAAAGATATCACTACATTTCTATATAAATATGTAAATATATAAATATACAAATATATAAATAAATATGTACATATATAAATATATAAATAAATATGTACACATATAAATATATAAATATACACATATATAAATATATAAATATACAAATGTATAAATATATAAACATTAACATAAATAAAACTAGAACAAAATAATATATTGACATATAAATATATAAACATTAATATAATAGAAATGAACTATAATCAAATAATATATTGAATAATAAATATAATGAATTAGTATAAATACTATAGATACATCAAGAAATAAAAATATATTAATTGCTGTAAGTAAATAAGTATATTTATAAGTATATATAATTATATAAGTATATATATAAAATATATAAACTTATATATAAGTACATATTTTATATATAAATATATAAACTTATATACAAGTATACATTATATAAGTATATATAAATATAAATATATTAATTACTATAAGTAAATTAAAATTGACTACATTAATAAACTAATAAATATAATTAATTAATAGAAATATTATAAATATATCACTAAATTTAAATATATAAGTATATACCTAAAAATATATTAACATTTATTAATAAAAATAAACACTATTAGCAGAAATTACTAAACTAAATAATAAATATAATTAATTAATAGAAGTATTATAAATATGTCACTAAATTTGATTTTAACATTTTCCTCTAGATTTTCTTCTTTCTTGATTATTTTCTTTATCTTAATTCTGATTTCCATCCTGATTTCCATCCTGATTTTCTTCTTGATTTTCTTGATTCCTTTCTTCTTCCTTGACTCTTTTGATTTCCTTGGTTTTCTTCTTGATTTCCTTCTTGATTTTCTGTTTCCTCCTTGAATCAGCTTTGCAAAACTTTATTCCGACGTGTTACAAACCACCAGGAATTCCCAATTTTTGTTTTCCCTTTCCCTCACCCCAGGACCTTTGCCCAGAACTGCAGGAACATCGAAGTGTTGAACCTCAATGGTTGTACCAAGATCACGGACGCGTGAGTCAAAACTCTTCCTTGGGTGCCAAAAAACCCAGGCCTGGGAGTGGGAGAGGTTTTCCATGGAATCATGGAATGGTTTGGGTTGGGAGGACCTTAAATCCCATTAATTCCCCTGTCAGGATCCCTGTCAGGGGGTCATTAATCCCATTAATGACCCCTGCCATGGCATGGACACCTTCCACCATCCCAGGCTGCTCCAAACCCCATCCAGTCTGTCCTTGGCACTGCCAGGGATCCAGGGGCTGCCACAGCTGCTCTGGGCACCTGTGCTGGGTTTCCACCTCCATCCTCCCCCACCCTGCCCATCCCATGGGATTTCTGTGGTCTGACATGAATCCATTGCAGGAATTGTCCCCCTGTGTCTCTTCCAGCACCTGCACCAGCCTCAGCAAGTTCTGCTCCAAACTCAGGCACCTGGATTTGGCTTCTTGCACCTCCATCACCAACCTGTCCCTGAAAGCACTCAGGTAGGAGCTGGCAGCAGGGATTTTTCCATGGAATTTTGGAACCATTAAGGCTGGAAAAGACCTCTGAGATCCTCCAGCCATCCCAGCATTCCCTCTGGAGCTGGGCTCTGCCTGGTGTGCCCTGCTGGCTCCCAGAAATGGGATCAGCAGAGCTTCTGGCTTGGAGCAGGATTTCTCCTGAGGCTTTCCCTGTGTGTCCCTGTGTCCCCCAGCGAGGGATGCCCGCTGCTGGAACAGCTCATCATCTCCTGGTGTGACCAAGTGACCAAGGACGGGATCCAGGCGCTGGTGCGGGGCTGCGGGGGGCTCCGGGCCCTGTCCCTCAAGGGCTGCACCCAGGTACAGCTGGAAAGGTGACAGTGGGCACAAATGGGGTGTCCTGCTGCTCCTCAGGGTGTGGGCATGGAAATTCAGGGCTTTGGGTTATTCCCTTCTCCAAAATCCCCATGCTGTTGGAGATCACGTGCTGGCGTGGAAGTTTTTCAGTAGCCCCGAGGAGTGGGACGGGGAATAAATCACTTGTGGAGCTGGAGAATCTTTTTATCCCAATTTTCCTTTTGCCACTGATCTTTTGGACGAGGTCACTGTGATCCATGGGCAGATCTGGGCTCAGGGGGTTTCATGGCAGTCCTTTGCTCTGGCTGCTCTGCTCCTGATGTGATAAAAAGCAGGAACACTCCTGGTGCTGCTGCTCCTGTGCTGCATTTCCCTCCTCCCCAGAGGAAATCCCCATTCCCTGCTGTCCCAGCTTCAATTCCTGGATCCCAGTGCTCCCAATTCCCATCCCTGTGCTTTCTTTTCCAGCTGGAGGACGAGGCCCTCAAGTTCATTGGTGCCCACTGTCCCGAGCTGGTGACCCTGAACCTGCAGACCTGCCTGGTGAGTGGCGCTGCCCAGGATTCCCTCATGGAATGTTCTCCATCCCCTGCCCACAGGGCACTGGGCACCAGCAGCTCCTTGGTGGCCCTTCAAGGGCACTGAGCCCCACACCTTTGCTGGGTCAGGGGTGTTTCTCTCTTCCCTCTGAGCTTTTCTGTGGGATGAGCTGGAAAAATCCTTCCCATCAGGCTGGGGTGGTGCTGCCAGGACTCTCCTCTGGTCCCTCTGCAGAGCTGAACCTACAAAGGCACTTCTCCTGTGCACAGAAAGGCCCTCAAGCAGCTCTGCAGTGCCAAAAATGTGTGTTTATGCCAAAAAATAGATTTATTTTTTGGCATAAACACGCATTTTTGGCGTGGGCTCTCTGTCTGTGCCGTTAGAGTCCGACAGAGGGAGCGGCATGGATGGACCTGCTGTGTCCAGGGGTGGGATTGAATGGAGCCCCATGTCCAGGGATAGGGATTGACAGACTCCCTGTGCCCAGGGGCAGGGATGGACAGACTCCCTGTGTCCAGGAACACAGATGGACAGACTCCCTGTATCTTTCCAAGCAGGAATTAGAAAGCCTTACAAGACTCCCAGCACCTTCCCCCATCCCTCACTGGGTCCAGCTCCAAAACATTTCCCTCCAAATCCCTTCCCTGATATTCCCAAATCCAGCAAGGTTTCTGCTGCTTCTCCATAACAATTTTGGTCAAAACATTCCCGTAACAATTTTGGGGTGAAACATTCCCATAACAATTTTTGGGTCGAAACACTTCCGTAACAATTTCTGGGCCAAAACGAGCCGGAATTTGGAACTGGGAGAGGCAAATCCAACCTGGATTGAGGCAGCTGTGCTTTCCCTGGCAGCAAATCACAGATGATGGGCTCATCACCATCTGCAGGGGCTGCCACAAGCTGCAGTCCTGTGTGCTTCTGGCTGCTCCAACATCACTGATGCCATCCTCAACGCCCTGGGACAGAACTGCCCACGCCTCCGGTGAGTTCTAACACCACTTCCCCCATGGAACACACTCAGCAGAGGCTCCAGGTGGTCCCTGAGCCATTTCACCCCCTAAAGGTTTTCCAATTCTGAGCTTTTTTCCAGGTGGTTGTGATTTTTGGGTTGTCCCCAAATTTTTGGGGTTTAAAAGAGCTCCCAGCGTGGTGCCCACAAGCTCCCGTGTGTGTCCATGAAGGAAGTTTGGGATTGGGTGAAGCTTTCCAGAGGGGCAGAAACTCAACCAGGACAAATCCCACCCCAAATTCCAGATGAGGAATTCCAGTTTTCAGCTTTTGTTTTCTACCTCTGCTGGTCAGGATTGAAGGCACTTGGGATGATGGTTCAGGTTCAAACTCAGGGGTTTATTAATTATTATCAATGTCACAGTCTCACAGCAGTGAGTTCTGCAGTCTCTCATTAACCAGGCACAAAATGGCCAACAATCTCTGGTTACAAGGTCTTTTAAGGCTAAAATATCCAATTAAGAAACACCTAAATTATTTTCCCTTTTAACCCAATAACTGCTCACTCAAAGTCTGCAATGTGGAGTTTTCTCTCCAATTACAAAATACCACCCAAACCCATGGAGAGGAAGGAAGAAGAAGGCAAAGAGGAACAACCTGCCTCCTCCCTAAAACCTCCATCTTGCTTCATATTTATTTCAAATTAAGAACTGACACCTAGATTATTTTCCCTTTTAACCCAGTAACTGATGACTCAAAGTCTGCACTGTGGATTTTTCTGTCCAGTTACAACATACCACCCAAACCCATGGAGAAGAAGGAGGAAGAAGAACCTGTCTCCACCCTAAAACCTCCATCTTGCTTCATATTTATTTCAAATTAAGAACTGACACCTAGATTATTTTCCCTTTTAACCCAGTAACTGATCACTCAAAGTCTGCACTGTGGATTTTTCTGTCCAGTTACAAAATACCACCCAAACCCATGGAGAAGAAGGAAGAAGAACAACCTGCCTCCTCCCTAAAACCTCCATCTTGCTTCATATTTATTACTATATTCTAAAACCCCAAACTCTAATTTTCCACCCTGTGCTGTTACACACTTCTAACCAACTCCACACCACAATCCCAGTGCTATCAATGAATTTTGGCATCTTTCTCCACAGCCTCAGGTCAAATGCAGTGTTCTGTGTGTTTGTCAGCCCAGAAAATGTAAAATTCTCAGCATCCAGAACTCCAGAGCAGAGCTTCTGCCTCGGAGCAGGATTTCCCCTGAGGCAAATGAGCTTCCCATGTGTGTCCAGCATGGAAAGAGCTCCAACATCAGAACTCCTTCCCATGGAGGTGTCAGATCCCAGAGCAGCTCCATGGGGACGTGGGGTGTCCCTGACACATCCCTGTGTCCCCTGGGCATGGGGTGGGACTGGGGGGGTCTCCTGAGGTCATTCCCAGCCCTTTCCTGGCCTCTGGGGGCTCCCCCATGGTTCTTTCCTTGTGTCCTGCAGAATATTGGAGGTGGCGCGGTGTTCGCAGCTGACCGACGTGGGCTTCACCACCCTGGCCAGGGTAAGGGCCCTGCTCCTCCTCCTCCTTCCCCTCCTGCTTTTCCTTCCTTTTCATGGCAGAAAAACACCCCAGGAGGTTTGGGGAAACTTCGAATTTAGTTGGAAGCTTAAGGTCCAAAAATTGAATTTTATGGGATCTTTGGCATCGTCCTGGCTCGCGCACCTGGGAGGGTTTGTATCCAAACAAGAGGAAATGTTAAATATTTTAGTTATAAACTTTGCTGGTTTGTCTAAATTTAAATCCCTTTACTCTCCATGATTAAAAAATCCCTTAAATGAGTGAAATTTCCTTTATTATCCTTCAGAAACTTTGTAAACTTTCCTTCCAGTTGTGATGTTTCATGGAGAAACACTTTAATTTTTAAAGCAAACTATCTTTGTGGTGGTTAATCCATATTTATATTTGTATCTATAATTTATATTTATAATTATACTTTATAGTTGTATTTATGTTTATATTTTTATATTTTCATATAATTTATATATTTATTATTCTGTTTTATACTGTGTATATTTGTATATTTATATTTAATTTTGATTTTTATATTTGATTGTGTGTTTAGATTTATATCTATTGCTTTTCTATATTTGTATTTATAATATTACATTTAATTATACTATTATATTTACAACATAATGTATTTCTATTATTTATTATATTTATAATTTTTATATATTCCTATTTGCTGTCTGGACTTCACACTCACTGTGGATGTTTGGAATTTTCTTTACTCTAGAATTGCCATGAGCTTGAAAAAATGGATCTGGAAGAGTGTGTCCAGGTAGGAATGCCACCTCAGGCTGTTTCTCTTGCTGCAGTGTGGAAAATTGGTGGAAAATTAAAGAGATTTTCTCCAAATCAGGATTTAATGTGGAATCCTGAGCGGGAAGAGTGGCTGGATTTGGAGAGGAAAATGTTGGGAATGAGGTTTTATCCTTGGTTTGGATTCCATGGGAACGCTGCTGTAAATAAGAAATATTTAATAGTGAGAGATCCTGGGTCAAAGAATGGATTTGTGAGAGAAAAATCCCAGATTTTTGAGGGAAAACCCCAGAGAAAAATCTTATCTTGCTAAAAATAATGGAAAACTATGGGGAAAATTGTGAAACAGCAATGATTGAAATGAAACTGAAGCTGAAGCATTTTTAGGGAAAAGGGTGGAATTGACTCAAAATTCCATGAAAAAACCTCCAAGCCCAAGGGAATGGGATTGGGATTCTGGAAACAGCTGGACCCCTGTCCTAGGCAGAAATTTGGGATATAAATAGGGAATGACACCAGCCCAGGCAGGAAGGGATTGGGAATGAACCCTAAAAAGGGAGAAGCAAAGCTCAGCCAGGGCACAAATCCATCCCAGGCAGCTCCTGTGGGGTTGGGATTGGGAATCTTTGTGGGAATTCCTTCTTTCTGAAGAAAACCAGGAACTGGGCAGGGCACAAATCCATCCCAGGCAGCTCCTGGGGGAGTTTGGGATTGGGAATCTTTGTGGGAATTCCTTCTTCCTGAAGAAAATCAGGGCAGGGCACAAATCCATCCCAGGCAGCTCCTCTGGGGGTTTGGGATTGGGAATCTTTGTGGGAATTCCTTCTTCCTGAAGAAAACCAGGAGCTGGGCAATCTGTAGGGTGTTCAGAGGGAATCTGAGCCTTCCTTGTCCTTCTAGAAGAACATTTGGGGGCTGATTTCAGCCCCTTAAGGAAGTTAAAAACAATCCAGGGATGCCTCTGCATCCCAGTTCTCCAAGGGCAGGAGGAGATTTCCATGAGGATTCCTGAGAGGCTGTGGGGAAATCTTAAGGATTAGGGAAAATCCTGCAGTTTTGCTTTGGTAGAAAGGCAAAAAAACCCCAAATCCTTGTGCCCAGCACCAAAATGAAAGGGTTTTTCCTTCTCTTCCAGATTACAGACAGCACACTAATCCAGCTTTCCATACACTGTCCACGGCTGCAGGTCCTGGTGAGTATCCCAGGGGGCACTTCCAGCATTTCCTTCCTCCAAACAAAAGGATTTTAAACACTCCCTGACTTCACAGTTGGAAGAATTCTGCTGCAGACCTGACCCTGAGGAACCTCTTACCCCATCCCTGCTGCTTGCAGGAATCCCACCCACAGGAAAGGGGCTGTGGGGATTGTCCCAGGAGCAGAATTCCAGGTGGGATCTGTCTGCAGAGGAGCTGTCAGTCTGTCTGTGGGACAGGAACCTGCTCAGTGCCTCTGGGAAGCTTTTGGGGCTGAAACTCTGGGAATTTGGAGTGCTCAGTGCATCTGGGAAGCTTTTGGGTCTGAAACTCTGGGAGTTTGGAGTGCTCAGTGCCTCTGGGAAGCTTTTGGGTCTGAAACTCTGGGAATTTGGAGTGCTCAGTGCATCTGGGAAGCTTTTGGGGCTGAAACTCTGGGAATTTGGAGTGCTCAGTGCTTTTGGGAAGCCTTTAGGGCTGAATCTCTGGGAATTTGGAGTGCTCAGTGCCTTTGGGAAGCTTTTGGGGCTGAATCTCTGGGAATTTGGAGTGCTCAATGCCTCTGGGAAGCTTTTGGGGCTGAACATCTGGGAATTTGGAGTGCTCAGTGTCCCTGGGAAGCCTTTGGGGCTGAAACTCTGGGAGTTTGGAATGCTCAGTGCCTTGGGAAGCTTTTGGGGCTGAAACTCTGGGAGTTTGGAGTGCTCAGTGTCCCTGGGAAGCCTTTGGGGCTGAATCTCTGGGAATTTGGAGTGCTCAGTGTCCCTGGGAAGCTTTTGGGGCTGAAACTCTGGGAATTTGGAGTGCTCAGTGTCCCTGGGAAGCCTTTAGGGCTGAATCTCTGGGAATTTGGAGTGCTCAGTGCCTTGGGAAGCTTTTGGGGCTGAACCTCTGGGAGTTTGGAGTGCTCAGTGCCTTTGGGAAGCTTTTGGGGCTGAATCTCTGGGAATTTGGAGTGCTCAGTGCCTTGGGAAGCCTTTGGGGCTGAACCTCTGGGAGTTTGGAATGCTCAGTGCATCTGGGAAGCCTTTAGGGCTGAAACTCTGAGAGTTTGGAGTGCTCAGTGCTTTTGGGAAGCCTTTGGGGCTGAATCTCTGGGAATTTGGAGTGCTCAGTGTCCCTGGGAAGCCTTTGGGGCTGAATCTCTGGGAGTTTGGAATGCTCAGTGCTTTTGGGAAGCCTTTAGGGCTGAATCTCTGGGAGTTTGGAGTGCTCAGTGTCCCTGGGAAGCCTTTAGGGCTGAATCTCTGGGAATTTGGAGTGCTCAGTGCATCTGGGAAGCTTTTGGGGCTGAACATCTGGGAATTTGGAGTGCTCAGTGTCCCTGGGAAGCCTTTGGGGCTGAAACTCTGGGAGTTTGGAGTGCTCAGTGTCCCTGGGAAGCCTTTAGGGCTGAATCTCTGGGAGTTTGGAGTGCTCAGTGCTTTTGGGAAGCCTTTGGGGCTGAATCTCTGGGAGTTTGGAGTGCTCAGTGCATCTGGGAAGCCTTTGGGGCTGAATCTCTGGGAGTTTGGTCCCTGTCCCCCCTGGGGTTGTGCCCTGAGGGATGCTGTCCTGGAGGGTGTGGGGATGTGGGTTCTGCAGTGCAGTCACCCCTCAGCAGAGGCAGCTCCAGCTCCTGCCTCAGGCCCCGCTTCCTCCTCGAGGACTTTGCAGGTGAATCCCCCTGAAAATCCACACCCCTCTGTGTGGGGTCAGAGTTTAACCCTTCTGGGGACAGAGTTTAACCCTTCTGTGTGGGGACAGAGTTTAATCCCTCTGGGGACAGAGTTTAACCCCTCTGTTTGGGGACAGTGTTAACCCCTCTGTCTCAGGACAGAGTTTAACCCTTCTGGGGACAGAGTTTAACCCTTCTGTTTGGGGACAGAGTTAACTCTTCTGTTTAGGGACAGAGTTTAATCCCTCTGGGGATAGAGTTTAACCCCTCTGTTTGGGGACAGTGTTAATCCCTCTGTCTCAGGACAGAGTTTAACCCTTCTGGGGACAGAGTTTAACCCCTTTGTGTGGGGACAGAGTTAACCCTTCTGTCTCAGGACAGAGTGTAACCCCTCTATTTGGGGACAGAATTTAACCCCTCTGTTTAGGGACAGAGTTTAACCCCTCTGCCTCAGGACCGAGTGTAACCCCTGTGTTTGGGGACAGAGTTTATCCCACTGCGAGCTGATCACGGACGATGGCATCCGTCACCTGGGCAACGGCGCCTGCGCCCACGACCGGCTGGAGGTGATCGAGCTGGACAACTGCCCCCTGATCACCGACGCCTCCCTGGAGCACCTCAAGAGCTGCCACAGCCTCGAGAGGATAGAACTGTACGACTGCCAGCAGATCACGCGGGCCGGGATCAAGAGACTCAGGGTGAGCTGGGGCGAGGAGGAGCTGGGGTGGAGGAGGAGCTGGGGTGGGGAGGGTTCATCCATAGTGAGGAGTTGGGATTGGAGGAGTTTATCCATGGGGAGGAGCTGGGATGGAGAGGGTTTATCCATGGGAAGGGTTTATCCATGGGGAGGAGCTGGAATGGGGAGGGTTTGTTCATAGGGTGGGGAGGAGCTGGGATTGGGAGAGTTCATCCATAGGGAGGAGGAAGGGAAGGAGGGAGGGAGGAACTGGGATGGGGAGGAGCTGGGATGGGGAGGGTTTATCCATAAGGAGGAGCTGGAATTCTAGGGGTTTATCCACAGGGAGGAGCTGGGATGGGGAGGGTTTGTCCATAGGGATAGGGAGGAGCTATCATGCCTATCCATAGGGATAGGGAGGGTTCATCCATGAGGAGGATTTAGCCATAAGGAGGAGCTGGGATGGGGAGGGTTTATCCATGAGGAGGAGCTGGGATTGTGGGGGTTTATCCACAGGGATGAGCTGGGATGGGGAGGATTCATCCACGGGGAAGGTTTATCCATAAGGAGGAGCTGGGATGGGGAAGATTCAGCCATGGGGAGGAGCTGGGATCTGGAGGGTTTATCCATAGGGAGGAGCTGAGATAGGGAGGGTTTATCCATAGGGAGGAGGAAGGGAAGGAGGGAGGGAGGAACTGGGATGGGGAGGAGCTGGAATGGGGAGGGTTTATCCATAGGGAGGAGCTGGGATTGTGGGGGTTTATCCACAGGGAGGATCTGGGATAGGGAGGAGCTGGGATGGGGAGGATTCAGCCATGGGGAGGAGCTGGGATCTGGAGAGTTTATCCGCAGGGAGGAGCTGAGATGAAGAGGGTTCAGCCATAAGGACAAGCTGGGATAGGAAGGGTTTATCCATGAGGAGGAGCTGGAATGTGGAGGGTTTATCCATGAGGAGGATGTGGAATGTGGAGGGTTTATCCATGGGGAAGATCTGGAGTGTGGAGGGCTCATCCACAGGGAGTGCCGAGCTCCCATCCCCTGGTTCTCCTCCTCACAAGAGTTGTGAGAACCATCAGCTCCCTCATCCTGGGCCCCCTGCGAGCACCACCAGGGGAGGGAGCCGAGGTTCTGCTGCAAGCCCTGACACCCCCACGTTCCCCTGCAGACCCACCTGCCCAACATCAAAGTCCACGCCTACTTCGCCCCGGTGACGCCCCCGCCGTCGGTGGGCGGCAGCCGGCAGCGCTTCTGCAGATGCTGCATCATCCTATGACACCGGAGCCTCCTGCCGGCCTGCTGGGGCTGGAAGCACGCCTGGGCACCCCCAGATCTCCAGAACCTCGGAGGAGAAGCGCCCCCAGTGAGCAGGGCTGGGCTGCCACCCACACCCCCCCTGTGACCCCGGCGGGATGAGGGAGCTGGGCCTGACCCTGAGCCGTTCCTGCTGGAATAGCCCCGGCCAGCAGGGGAGGGCTCCCAGCCTGCAGGGACCGGGGCTGCTGCTGCTGCTGAGGGTGGAGAAGGAGCTGGGAGATGCTTGGAGTGGGGAGAGGGGAGAGGAGAGGAGCACGCTGAACCCCCTTGTGCAGGAGGAAAAACCCCAAGGAACGTGAAAACTCGAACAAAATCTAAAAAGCCCAACAAATCTGAGAACCCCAACCAAACCTGAGAACCACAACAAAACCTGGAAACCCAAACAAAGCAGGAAAACTTAGACAAAACCTGAAAACCCAAACAAAACCTGGAAACCCAGACAAAACCTGAAAACTCAAACAAAACCTGAGAACCCCAACAAATCTGAAAACCCCAACAAGCCTGAAAACCCCAACAAATGTGAAAACCTAAACAAAACCTGAGAACCCAAACAAACCTGAAAAACCCAAACAAAACCTGGAAACCCAAACAAAACCTGAGAACCCCAACAAATCTGAAAAACCCAGACAAAACCTGGAAACCCCAACAAATCTGAAAACCCCAACGAGTTCCATGTCCGTTTGTCAGTAAGGGAATGAAACAGCAGCTGCTGAGCCAGGATTTCCATGGGATCCAGAATTTCCCTGGGATTCAGGATTTCCCTCTGGGATTCAGGATTTCTCTCTGGGATTCAGGATTTCCCTGTGGTTCAGGATTCCCCTGTGCTCCCCTGCTCCCACCTGAGCACACTCACATGAAGGCTCATCTTCCCTGTGTCAGATTCTTCCCAGATTGTTGTGATGGACCTTGGAATTTCTAATTCCACATATTTTACCCTCCCCAAATCCTGCCTTTTTTTTTTTTTTAAAGGTTTTTTCCCAAATTTTTCTTCCAAATTCAGTCATTTATTGAGATTTCCCAGCAAATCCATAAGGAATTTTTTTCCCCAGGAGAAGCCTGAGCCTGTGATGAGCTGTCAGGAAGATTTTTAAGGAGCACAGGGAGAGCTGCACCCCAGGCTGGATAATCAGGATTGGGTGTCCAAACTCATCCCAAATCCAGGTTTTATCCCAATGACAAGGATAGAATCCTTCCCACAGGGAATGATATATATACAAATATATAATTCTCAGCGCAGGGAGAAAGTCCCAGCCCGTGTTCCAAGGACTGTGAGTTCCCTCCTCCTGTCCCATCCCTCCATCCTCCCCCAAGCCAAGTAGAGCTTTTTGCTTGTTGCCCTGATGAAGAATTAATTAAGGAGTCCCTGATGGAGCAGGGCTGGGATCCTCCCTCAGTGCCCGTGGGGGCCCTTCCTGCCCTCCCCACGTGCCCAGGTAAGTGTGGAGCCCTGGATGGGCTCTGGATGTGCCAGGCCCAGCTCTGGGGGAACAGGGAGGGTTTGCTGGCTGCTTTTTTGGGGTGTTCCAGGCTCCAGGGGAGCCCAGAGGGATGAAATTCCAGGGTGGAACTGCTGGGCAGATCCCAAGGGTTGAAGGGACAGGTCTGTGGCTCCGTGTCCGTCGTTCCCGCTGTCTGTGCGGGCAGCTCGGCGCTGCATTGAAGGGTTTGGCTTCCCCTGGGTGCTGAGGAATCTCCTGGTGGGGCAGGAGCAGCTGCAGCAGCAGGAGTGGCTGTGTAGGGGCTGGGCATGGGGGGGGATTTTCCCATTTTCCCGCCAGGAATTCCAAAAGGACAATGAGCTGTTCCCAGCAGGAGCTGCACCCCTTCATGTCCCCCAGCCTGGGAGCACCTCCAGGCTGCTGTGGTTAAAAGGATACTGTCAATGCCCTCCTGTAGGTGGCTTTTAATCCCTTATATTTATTCAAATCCTCTTTAGCGCTGTGGATTCTCCCCCTCTCCTCGGGCGCCTTCATTTCCAGAACTTTCTCCAGGTTTCAGGGTGGCAGAAGATGCTGGTGACAGACTGGACGGGCAGAGGGGTCACCCAGCAATCACGGGATTTGCACAACTCTGGGAAAATAAAATAAAAACAAAACACTTTTTGTTTAGTTCCTACTGTGGCAGGGGAGAGAGAAGAGCGGGATTTTGGCTGGCTGATCCCTTTGGAACAGAGCAGTTTTCCAGGGAAAACTCCAGAACACAGAACCCAAAGCAATTTTATTTTCTGTTTGCAGACCAGGGTGACAGCATTAAGGTAGCTCAAACTTCTTGACAGTGTCCTTTTAAGTCAATTATCCGTCTTCAAATGGACTCTTCCTGATGTTTATATTTATAAATACCAATAAACACCATTTTCCAAGCTGTGTCTCGCTGGGGGAATCACTGGGTGGGGGAAAATCCAATTCCTGCATGGGGCAGCTCCTGAGGGGGAGTGTTTGGGTGGGGGTTTCCTCGTGGTGCTGCACGGTCGGGGCGCACAGGATGTACTGGAAGGGTGGCAGTGGTGTGGAGATGTCACCATTGGGCTGCTCCTGCTTCATGCAGGGCAGGACCGGGGGGTCCCTGCAGGAAAACGCCCCTGGGAAGGGTGGGAGCTCAGCCGTGCCTCAGTTTCCCCGAGCCCACAGAGTTGGGGGTACCTGAGCACCCCCGAGGTGAGCAGGGGGTACATGTGCCCAGGGCTGGACCAGGAGTGGTCGGGCGCCGTGCCAGAAGAGCGTGGTGGGGACAGGGGGGGACACCCTGCGAGCAGAGGTGACAGCACAGGGGGACAGGGGGCTGGGCCCACCCCCACCTTTCTGGGCGCGGGGCGGGGAATGGCAGCGGGGCTGGGCCCAGTTCGGGGTGTTGACAGTAAACGGGGGAGGGAGGGGCTCAGTTTGCTGTCAATACAATGGGGGGGGACACCAGGGGGCTCCCCCAGCCCCTTTGTCCCAGCCAAGAACCCCCCCCCCGTGCGTGTCCTGTCACCACCCCCCTTTTAACCCTTTAATTCCTTCCAGATTTGGTTCTTTTTGGGTAAAAAAGGGGCATTTGCAGAGCCCCAGGGTGGGGGGGGTCAGTGGGTGCTGTGCCCCCTCCTGGTGACACTGGGACAGGACACGGGGTGTCACACACACTGAGGGTGTCACACACACACTGGGGGTGTCACACACGGACGCATCACTGTGATGAGCTGGGGGGGGGTCCCAGCTCCATTTCAGGGGTGGGGGGGACCCTCCCCAGCTCACTGAAACCCCCCAGGTGAGCCCAGAGCTCATCCAGGCCGTGTCTGTCAGTCTGTCCAGCCATTCCCAGAGTGGGATGGGGCTGGCAAGGAGCTCCTGGGGGAGTTTGGGGGGTCCCTAGTGTGAGCTCCAGCCCCCCAGCTCCTCCCTGAGCCTTTGGGGGGTTCAGGGGGTCCCCAGCTCGGGGCTGAGGGGAAGGGCCCACAGCAGTTCCCAGATCCCTCCCTGCTGCAGACACTGAGACTGGGCTGGAGAGTCCGGGATGTTTTATTGGAGGCTTGGGAATGGGACAGGCTCGGGGACAGCCCCCGGTCACTTCTTGGCCTCCTCCTCCTTGGACAGGGTTTTGATGATCTCCTCCTTCTTGGCCTGCAGCCGCTCCTCCCTGCGCTTCCGCGCCTCCTTGGTCTTGGAGCGCCGCGCCTCCGCCTGGTCCCTGCGGGGTTGGGGACGTGAGGAACCCATAAAAACCCCAGAACAGACGCAGAACGGCCCCACAAGAACCCCACCAGACCCACAACACCTCCACCAGACCCAGAATAGCCCCAGAACAATCAGAACACCCAGAACAACCCCACACCAGCCCCATGCCACCCAGAACAGCCCCAGAATGGCCCCACACCACCCAGCACAACCTCACACCACCCTGACCCCTGTCCCCATCTCCTTGGGCCCTGCTGTCCCACACCACCCAGAACAGACCCAGAACAACCCCACAGCACCCTGAGCCCTGCCCCACAACGCCCAGAACAACCCCTCAACACCCACAACAACCCCACAGCACCCTGCCCCTGTCCCCTGTCCCTCCTGTCCCACAGCACCCCGCTGGATCCCGGGGATTTCCATTCACTCCATCCAGGAGCAGCTGTTTGGGCTCACGAGTCTCTGCTGAATCCCAGAGCGCTCAGATTCAGCTTTTCCCCCCAAGGACACCGCAGGATTTTGCAATCCCTCCCCTCCCCTGGTGAATCATTCACCCACTCCAGCAGCTGATCAGGAATCTCCCAGTCCCCACCTCAGTGAAACCCCAAACCCCCCCAGACCCCACATTTCCCAGTTTTGCCCCATTTGGGATGGATTCCCCCAGAAATGCCCCACAGGGGGGTTTATCCCTGGCAACCCCTCCTGCCAGGGCAGCACTTACGCCAGGAGCTTCTTGCGGGCCTTGTCGGCCTTGAGCTTGTGGATGTGCTCCATGAGGATCCGCTTGTTCTTGAACACGTTGCCCTTGACCTTCAGGTACAGGCTGTGGTACCTGGGGGGCACGGAGGGGACATCAACTCCTGCTGGGAGCACTGGGAGCACTGGGATGGGCTAGGATGGCATGGACTGGGATGGGAGCACTGGGATGGACTGGGATGGGAGCACTGGGATGGACTGGGATGGGATGGGAGCACTGGGATGGACTGGGATGGGAGCACTGGGATGGACTAGGATGGGATGGGAGCACTGGGATGGACTGGGATGGGAGCACTGGGATGGACTAGGATGGGATGGGAGCACTGGGATGGACTGGGATGGGATGGGAGCACTGGGATGGACGGCAGCACTGGGATGGATGGCAGCACTGGGATGGACTGGGATGGGAGCACTGGGGTGGGATGGACTGGGATGGGAGCACTGGAGTGGATGGCAGCACTGGGATGGACTGGGATGGGATGGGATGGATTGGGATGGACTGGGATGGATGGCAGCACTGGGATGGACTGGGATGGGATGGGATGGATTGGTGT